CTTCCTGTGTTCCCTGTGTCGAGGGGCGGCTCCGGGCTGCCCCTCACTCCTCTTAGTTTCCCCCGACAAAGGCCCCGCTGCAGACGCTTCACATGGACGTGTGGGGCCCGGCCCGCGTCCGTGGACAGGGTCACGAGCGCTACTTCCTGCTGGTGGTTGACGACTACTCGCGTTACACCTCCGTCTTCCCCTTGCGCAGCAAGGGTGATGTCACTGAGGTGTTGATCGACTGGATCCGCGCAGCTCGTCTCCAGCTCAGGAGGAGCTTCGGCTCGGACTTTCCTGTTCTGCGTCTGCACTCTGACCGAGGCGGAGAGTTCTCCTCTGGCCTTCTGCGAGCCTACTGCCGTGCGCGAGGCATCCGCCATACCTTTACACTTCCGGACTCTCCACAGCAAAATGGGATTGCTGAGCGCCGCATTGGCATGGTCATGGACGTCGCTCGTACGTCCATGATGCATGCGGCTGCCCCCCATTTTCTGTGGCCGTTTGCGGTTCGGTACGCGGCGCATCAGATCAACCTTCACCCCAGGGTCTCCAGGCCGGAGACCTCCCCAGCCTTGCTGTGGACGGGGAAGGTCGGCGATGCGTCTGCGTTCCGTGTCTGGGGATCTCGGGCGTTTGTCCGCGACTTGTCTGCGGACAAGCTGTCCCCTCGTGCTGCTCCCTGTGTCTTCCTTGGCTTCCCCCCTGACGCCCCTGGGTGGCAGTTCTACCACCCCACCTCTCGTCGTCTTCTGTCCTCCGAGGACATCACGTTCAACGAGTCAGTCCCCTACTACCGCCTCTTCCCGTACCGCACTCCTTCCCTCCCCCCGCCACCGCACTTCCTTGTGCCAGGTCCCCCCCCGGTAGACCCCCTCCCCCCTCAGGGTCCTGCCCCTTCAGGTGTGTCCCAGGTAGATGCAGTCGAGCCGGTCGAGGTTGCTGGTGACTCTGGTACTGCTGCGGGTGCTGAGCCTGGGGGTGCTGACTCTGGGGGTTCTGCGCCAGTGGGTGCTGAGCCTGGGGGTACTGAGCCTGGGGGTGCTACGACTGAGGGTGCTGAGCCTGGGGGTCCTTCGCCTGGGGGTGCTGCGTCTGGAGCTGCTCAGCCTGGGGGTCCTGCGTCTGGAGCTGCTGAGCGTGGGAGTACTGAGTCTGGAGCTGCTGAGCCTGGGGGTGCGGAGCCCGCGGCCGCTGGACCTGCTCGTGTGGCGTCTGGCGGTGCTAAGCCTTCTTGTTCTCCGGGTGCTTCGTCTCGGCGGGAGCCACTCTCTCCATAGGAGCTGCGCGAGTGGTTTGCCCGGCGCTGGAGGCGTAATGCAGGAGCTGGTGCTTCTTCGGCTGCTGAGGGTGCTGGTGCCGCCGATCTCGGAGGTGCTAGCCCTGGGAGTACTGGAGCTGCTGGGCCTGCGAGTGCGACTGGAGTCGGAGCTGCTGAGGATGTTGGCGCTGAGGCTACTGCTGTCAGTCCTAGCGGCGGTCCTGCTGCGGGTGCTGCTGGTGCTGCTGGAGGTACTAGAGCTGGAGGTGCTGTTGGCGTTGGTGCTGCCACTGGGGGTGCTAGTGCTGTCCGTGCTGTGTCTGGAGTCGCCTCGCGGCCTCGGCCATACTTTGTTCCGCTCCTTCAGCAGGTTCTTGGTCTTCCTCCTCCCTTAGAGTGTCCACCGCCTGTCCAGTCACAGTCACAGTTACCGCCGGCCTCCCCACTGCCTGCTCCTTCTCCCTACACTGGTCCTACTGGAGGTCTTGCTGAGCGTCGTGAGCCTGCGTCTCGTCCTGCGTCGCCGGTTCGTGCTGCTCGCGCTAGTTGTCCCGGTTCGCGTCAGCGTCCTCCTCCTGTCCCTGGCACGCACCGGATGTCTCTGCGTCCGTCCACTGCTCCTCTGCGTGCCCCTTTGCCTTCTCCTCCTGAGTCCTCTCTTCCTGCCCTTGCCGACCCGGAGTCGGACTCTCTTCGTGCTGCCAGTCCTACTGTCACGCGTCTCCTTGCTACTGTCGTCACTGACCCCTCTTTTGAGTCCACTGCTGCGTCTGCTCTTGTTGCTGAGCTCGTCGACTTTGCTGCTCGCTGTCGTCTAGACTACGCTGCTAGTCTCGTTGCTGAGTCTGCGTCTGTCTGTCCTCCGTCCGTCGAGGGTGAGTGTGCTCTTGGCACGGACGTCCTTGAGGACAGGCAGGAGGAGTTACAGTGTCTGGCTGCTGCTTCACCTCATCTCGTGTCCATACTGCTTACCCCTGAGGGAGACCCGGATGCACTTGACATCCCGACTCCGCGCTCTTACGCGGAGGCCGTAGAGGGTCCCTACTCCTCTCAGTGGCAGGCAGCTATGGATGCAGAGATGGCTTCCTGGAAGTCCACAGGTACCTACGTTGACGCGGTTCCCCCACCTGGGGCGAACATCGTCAGTGGCATGTGGATCTTCAGGGTGAAGCGGCCGCCGGGCTCTCCGCCTGTCTTCAAGGCGCGGTACGTGGCTCGTGGCTTCAGTCAGCGGCAGGGAGTTGACTACTTTCAGACCTTCTCTCCCACCCCAAAGATGACCACTCTTCGGGTGCTGCTACACATAGCCGCTCAGCGTGACTACGAGCTTTACTCCCTTGACTTCAGCACTGCTTTCCTGCAGGGTAGCCTGCACGAGGAGATCTGGCTGCGCCGTCCACCTGGCTTCACTGGGACTTTCCCTCTTGGCACCCAGTGGAGCCTCCGACGGCCAGTCTACGGTCTCCGCCAGGCACCGCGCGAGTGGCACGACACACTGAGGACTACGCTTGCGGCTCTTGGGTTTGCTCCCTCTACTGCTGACCCGTCGCTGTTTCTACGCACCGACACCTCTCTACCGCCGTTCTACATCCTCGTGTACGTCGACGACTTGGTCTTTGCCACTGCTGACACTGCTGGACTCGCCCACGTGAAGTCCGAGCTGCAGAAGAGGCACACGTGCACAATCCTGGGTGAACTGCGCAGCTACCTTGGCTTGCAGATCACCCGGGACAGAGCACGCCGCACCATTACCCTGACTTAGTCACACATGGTGCAGCAGGTCCTTCAGCGCTTCGGCTTCACGTACTCCTCGCCTCAGGCCACTCCTCTGCCTACTCGCCACTCGCTCTCAGCTCTGCCTTCGGATGAGTCCGTAGAGTCGAGTGGCCCGTACCCAGAGCTTGTTGGCTGCCTCATGTACCTGATGACCTGCACTCGACCTGACCTTGCATACCCTCTTAGCATTCTTGCACGCTATGTTGCTCCTGGGAGACACAGAATAGAGCACATGGCTGCAGCGAAGAGGGTGTTGCGCTACTTGTGCAGTACGTCGGGCATGGGGCTAGTGCTTGGAGGGCAGAGTCCAGTGGTCCTCACTGGGCACGCGGACGCTTCTTGGGCTGACGACCAGGCTACGCAGCGGTCGTCACAGGGTTACACCTTCAGCCTTGGTTCCGGCTCTGTTTCGTGGCGGGCTACTCGCTCGTCTTCTGTTCTCGGCTCCAGTTGTGAGGCCGAGATCTACGCCGGGGCCATGGCTGCACAGGAGCTTCGCTGGCTCACCTACCTGTTGACCGACCTTGGAGAGCCGCCTCGTTCTCCTCCAGTCCTGTACGTAGACAACAAGGCCATGCTGGTCTTCTGTCGAGAGCAGAGACTGGAGCACAGAACAAAGCACATTGCTCTTCGCTACTTCCTTGCTCGTGAGCTACAGCAGCGTGGTCAGTTGCGGCTTGCGTACGTGGCCTCTGAGGCCAACACTGCTGATGTTTTCACCAAGGCACTTGCGCCTTGTGATCATCAGCGCTTCTGTACTCAGCTTGGTCTTGTGCCTGTCTTGCCTCACTTGCTCACTTCTTGACCTTGCTTGTACTGTCACATATATATACACCTGCTCTTGTTTGCTTAGCCTCTTATATATATATATGTGTACTCCTGCATGTGAGCTGGCCTTCTGGCCTTGAACTTGTGCTCGGAATGTGTGGTGACTTTGTGATCCACCCTGAGCTTTGCTTTGCTTTGCTTGACTGGTCTTGTGACCCCTTGTTCTCCCCCACTTTGCCTATGGGGGTGTGTCAAATTATAATGTTGTCTAGGCTTTAGTGGGGTAGCCCATATGGGGTACACATTTCTAGGGTTGCATATTTGTATCACTTTCATTCCATAGTCACTCTCATTCTCGTTCTAATTTCCTCATGTGCTTCTTCTATCTCACACATAATGCTCAATTATGTGGAACTGCGACTAAAGAATATCAGCATGTATTATGTGGTTACGTATTGTGTAGGTCCGTGTTTTACGACTTAGCTATTATGGAGAACGCGCGTTTTGTTTATCGCTTTCGTCTCGTTTTCTGGAGCTGACGCAAATTGCACATGAAATATACAGTAGTGCATCAGCTGAGTCACCAGAATTTCACAAGCTCAAACATGTGAAACCACCTCGATAACCCAACCCAACCCAAGAAGGGAGGCGCCAGGGTCGCGGAGCGATATTTGGCATTGAAGAGCGCAGTATGGCGAGAGATCGTGATCTGACACATCACTGGAAACCGAAATGTAATCAGCATCGAGTAGTCGCTCAGCGAGGGGTGCAAAATAAAAAAGATTTTGATGGAATCTGATGATAAGATTCTGGCAATATGCTTGGCTAACAGACTCCAACCCCTCCTGCCCTCTCTCATCCATCACTCGCAAACCGCTTTGATCAAATCTCGGAAAATCAAAGATACGCTAAATGACAGTCTGGACATCTTCGACTGGGCTACTGCTCAACCCTTGCCTCTTCTTGCCCTTACTGTTGACATTCGCAAGGCCTATGACATGGTTGACTGAGAGTTCTTGTTTTCTTGCCTATCGCAACTAGGCCTCCCTGCCCCATTTATTCAGTGTCTTCGACTCATGCATTCTGGCACTTCAACTCGAATCTCTGTAAATAGCCTCTACGGCCCCCCCATTCCCGTTCTGACCGGAGTCCGACAGGGCTGCTCACTGGCTCCTCTCCTCTTCTTATGCGTGGTGGAAGTTTTCCATCGTTACACCTCTTGTTTCTTTCCCGGTTTCCCTATCTCCCGCACCCAGAATCGCCTAATGGCATGCTATGCCGATGATGTCACAATCTTCCTCAATTCAGACTACGAACTCCGCATTGCCTCCCACGCCCTCCTCTCCTTTGCCTCGGTTTCAGGAGTGTTAGAATATATATGTAACTGCCTGTAGCTGTAGTTAGTGTAGTTATTATAAACTTGTTGGTGGTGCACCTTCTTTGCATGCTTTGTTTGCTATTTGTACCTCGCTCAATAGTGAACTCCCCACTCTTTGCCTAAACTCTCTCGACTCCCTTTGGCCTAGGCTACTAAGCCTAGGCCCTACTCTTACAATCTCAGCATGGTATTCAGAGTAGGTACCTTCCTGGTGCCTTCCTTAACGGGCCCACCAATTTGCTTCCGCTGCCTATCGTCTTGCCGCGCGCCTCGGGCGCGCGGCGTATTTTTCTCGCCCGTGCCTGGAGCAGCCGCCCTTGGACCCAGAGCAGCCGCCCCTGGCCCCTGGAGCAGCCGCCCCCGGTGCAGCCGCCCCTGGACCTCCGCAGCCGCCCTTGGCCCCTGGTGCAGCCGCCCCTGTTGCAGCCGCCCCTGGACCCAGAGCACCCGCCCCTGGCCCCTGGAGCAGCTGCCCCTGGTGAAGCCGCCCCTGGACCTCAGCAGCAGCCCACGGCGCCGACCCTGCAGCTGCATGCGCCGCCGTTCCTGGACTCGGTACGGCTTCCTCCCTGTGCTGCCTGTTGCTGCCCGTGCCTGTGCTGCCTGTTGCCGCCCGTTGCTGCCCGTGCCTGTACTGCCCGTTGCCGCCCGTTGCTGCCCGTGCCTGTGCTGCCTGTTGCCGCCCGTTGCTGCCTGTGCCTGTGCTGCCCGTTGCTGCCTGTTGCTGCCCGCGCCTGTGCTGCCAGTTGCCGCCTGTTGCTGCCCGTGCCTGTGCTGCCCGTTGCCGCCCGTTGCTGCCCGTGCCTGTGCTGCCTGTTGCTGCCCGTGCCTGTGCTGCCTGTTGCCGCCCGTTGCTGCCTGTGCCTGTGCTGCCTGTTGCTGCCCGTTGCTGCCCGTGCCTGTGCTGCCCGTTGCCGCCCGTTGCTGCCCGTGCCTGTGCTGCCCGTTGCCGCCCGTTGCTGCCCGTGCCTGTGCTGCCCGTTGCCGCCTGTTGCTGCCCGTGCCTGTGCTGCCCGTTGCCGCCCGTTGCTGCCCGTGCCTGTGCTGCCTGTTGCTGCCCGTGCTTGTGCTGCCTGTTGCCGCCCGTTGCTGCCTGTGCCTGTTGCCGCCCGCTGCTGCCCGTGCCTGTGCTGCCCGTTGCCGCCCGTTGCTGCCCGTGCCTGTGCTGCCCGTTGCCGCCTGTTGCTGCCCGTGCCTGTGCTGCCCGTGCCTGTGCTGCCCGTTGCCGCCCGTTGCTGCCCGTGTCTGTGCTGCCCGTTGCCGCCCGTTGCTGCCCGTGCCTGTGCTGCCCGTTGCCGCCTATTGCTGCCCCTGCTCTGCTCCGCGCTGTTGCCCTGCATGCGCGGCTGCCCTGCCCTGCTCCGCGCTGTTGCCCTGCACGCGCGGCTGCTCTGCCCATGCCTATGCTGCCCCTGCTCTTCCCCCTCCCCCTTCTTCGTCTCCCTGCTGCGCGTGCAGCCGTGGAACGGAGGCTATGGGGGTGGCGGGTATGGGGGTGATGGGTGTGTGTGATCCCCTTCCCCTCCTCCTTTCTCTCCCACTGCTGCAGCTACCGCTGGGGGAGGGGGGGTGGGTGTGAGGGTGTGGGGGAGCTGGGGGAGAGGTGCTAGGGTTGTCGAGGAGTGTGGAAGGGGGAGTTGGAGGACTGAGGAAGGTTCCAAGAAGCAGCCGCCTTAGAGCCAGCAGCTTCACCTGCCAGCAGCTTCTCCTCATATAGTCCCTCCTCCTCACTTGCCCTCTCCTTCTGCTGCGCTTGGTGTACCCCTTCAGGGGGTGTCTCTGCATTAGCTTCTGCTGCAGGCAGTTATGGGGGAGTGTTAGAATATATCTGTAACTGCCTATAGCTGTAGTTAGTGTAGTTATTATAAACTTGTTGGTGGTGCACCTTCTTTGCATGCTTTGTTTGCTATTTGTACCTCGCTCAATAGTGAACTCCCCACTCTTTGCCTAAACTCTCTCGACTCCCTTTGGCCTAGGCTACTAAGCCTAGGCCCTACTCTTACTATCTCAACAAGGAGAACACCCCAATTGGGCTAAATGTTCCCTTATCCCTTTTAACGTCGACCCAACAGTTTCCGAGCAGGATATATCCCTATCCGCCAAGCTTCGGAGTTCGAGCGGATTCTCTGCATTTTTGTAGGAAGCTCAGGACGGACGGACATAACATGATACCATGCGCTCACAAAAATCAAGTGCTCTGCTAATCTTCTTTCCCACCTCCATGCCACCTCCTCCTGCCGAAAAATGTTGGCCTCGGAAAACCTGAACTCGGCCCTCTCCTTCCCATGACGCTTGCACCCCCCCCCCCCCCCCCCCCCCCCCCCTTCCCCCACCACCAAAGCTCTGGACGATATGGTAGGGAAATTCCTGTCTGCATCCAAGTATAAATCGGCTGGGCGTACCACACGGCTCCTCACCCACATGGTCATTTTCCAACAAGACCGAACATGGTGGGCTAGGAGCTATTCGACCCGGGTTTAGCCAAATTACGGCACTAAATATTCAACGAGCTCTCCGTCGTTTCTCCCCCCTCCTCAGAGCCTCTGTCGCCAGGACGTGCGTTCCACTTCCTTTCGGTCTGCATGGGTACCTCCTACATTCTGATTTTGTTCCAGCCCTCCCCCCTTCCATCCCCCTACGCCTTCGTGAGGAAGTCAAGTGCATGATGGAAATTTCTCTGAAAATCTCCTCCCCACGACAGAAGTTCTGGTGCATATTGGCAGAGCCTGTGCCTTTATAACCGCTTCGTTCTCAAGGCGGATCAACGGCCATTCAGACGGATTCGTGACGAAGCTTTTCTGCTAGTCGAGGAGGTGCGCCATATTGTTCGCCGCGATGCCACCGGAGCCCGTCGCCTCACGGACGCTGAAGTTATGGCCCAATACCCTCCGAAAATGTACCCATGTAGTCACAGGATCTTGAAGGAAATATGATGCTATGCCAGATGAATGGTGGGCTGCCCTTGCCTCCTCCCACATTCTCGTTCCACTCTATGCAGGTGACTGGGATCTTCTGGCTGCCGACATGCACGCCCCGCCGAGATGTGCCTTTGAAGTGGATGTTTCTCTCCCTGATGGTACCTTTTTTGCTAATGTCTTTGATATAGACTCAACAGGGCGTATTGCGAAAGAAGCGAGGGCGCGCCGCCTTCTCTCCTCTGGTGAAACGGTCCCGGTCCATGTCTTCGACCGATGGCTTGGGGGCTCCTTTTGCTCAAGGGCAAGTCTGGCAGCTAGACTCGTGCTATTACAGAAAGGCTTCCCGTCTCTAGCTGCAATACAAGACCTACTATACTCTCGGCAGGAACTCACCCACCCACACAGGTGGAGGAACCTTCTTCCCAGCCCCGGACCTAACCTTTTCCTGGATTACAAGCATGCATTTCTCTCGGAACAACCATCGTCACAACGGGATGTGCTTTTCCGCCTGTACGCGCTGGCGCTTCCGTCCGGGTCCAGATTCAGCTTCGCTCGCAATAAAAGAGTGTGCGCACGATGCTCCAACGGCCACCTCGAGACTCTCTCACACCTCATCTTCGAATGCGGCGTTGCAAGACCCATCATCGATGCTCTACAGCGCACTGCCCGCAGACACCTGGGAATTTCCACCGCTCCACAACTGACGCTCTTCCCATTGTCGACGGTAGCGGGGCAAGGAGCCCCATGGAGCTTACTCGTTGGTGCAGCAGCCAAGACCATTTGGAACGCGCGGTGCTATTTCCGATACAAGCAGGTCACCACCAAGACAGCTGATGCATTATTTCAAGTGCTTCACTATTTTCTTCTCGCCCACAAAATCCTCTATTGGCGCTATTCCAAGGGCTCCAAGAAGAAACGAGCCAAAGGCATCCGATTAGCCAAGCTGGCCCAATCACACTGCTTCTTTCATTTCCCAGAACCCAACCAACCTTCATTCATACGGAACTCCATGCCACCTGGCTCCTAAACGATGCCTTCCGCCCCCCTTGATGACCTGGCTCCCCCCCTTGTCACATGTCAGCTAGATATCTGTCCTTGGACATCTCCGCTTCTGTAGCAGGAGGACAACCTGTTCATACGTGCTCCCTACGGGGAGTGGCTTTGCTTATTTCCTCATCTAGCTGCATGTTTTGTAATAGGTTACGACCTAATAAAAACCTTTAAACCAACCCAACCCTCAAGACACTAGTTCTTTCCACTCACGCTAGTACCATCACGTGAGTACCTCATGCTACCGCTAGTACCTCCCGGATTACCCGGTACTACTACCTCACGCTAATACCTCACGCTAGTACGCACATCAGCTCCTTATTCGGTGACAAGCGCCCATGACCATGAAACCGCTCGTGGAAAACGCCCTCGACAAGCGCCCGTGACAAACGACATGTTTCGTGAGTACAAGAGTGATAGGCGCGTTAAGTGCTAGGTGGTCATCGTCAACCCTTGGCGCCTTAAACGCTGGCGCCTTGGCGCCTTAAACGCTGGCGCCTTGGCGCCTTCAACGCTGGCGCCTTGGCGCCTTCAACGCTGGCCTTGGCGCCTTAAAACGCTGGCGTGTTGGCGCCTTAAACGCAGGCGCGTTGGCGCCTTAAACGCAGGCGCGTTGGCGCCTTAATCACTAGAGCCTTGGCGCCTTAATTGTTGGCGCCTTGGTGCCATGAGCGTTGGCGCGTTGGCGCCTTAAACGCAGGCGCGTTGGCGCCTTAATCACTGGCGCCTTGGCGCCTTAATCGCTGGCGCCTTGGCGCCATGAGCGCTAACGCGTTGGCCCCTTAAACGCTGGCGCCTTGGCGACTTAAACGCTGGCGCCTTGGCGCCTTCATCGCTGGCACCTTGGTGCCTTAAACGCTGGTGCCTTGGCGCCATGAGCGCTGGCGCGTTGGCGCCTTAAACGCTGACGCCTTGGCGCCTTAATCGCTGGCGCCTTAAACGCTGGCACCTTGGCGCCTTAAACTCTGGCGCCTTGGCGCCTTCAACGCAGGCGCCTTGGCGCCTTAGTCGCTGGCGCCTTAGCGCCTTAAACGTTGGCGCCTTAAACGTTGGCGCCTTCATCGCTGGCGCCTTGGTGCCTTGAACGCTGGCGCCTTGGCGCCTTGAACGATGGCGCCTTGGAGCCTTAATCACTGGCGCCTTGGCGCCTTAAACGCTGGCGCCCTAGCGCCTTAAACGCTGGCGACTTAACGCGTTGGCGCCTAACTCGCTGGCGTCTAACGCGCTTGCGCCTTGCAGCCTTCTGGCGGCTTGTGCGCTGCTGCCTTGTTGCGTCAGCGCGCTGGCAAATTATTGCGCACGGTCATGCGTTGCTGCAGTGAGCTCACGCGTTGCTGTAGTGAGCTCATGCCTTGCTGCAGTTAGCTCACGCGTTGCTGCAGTGAGCTCACGCGTTGCTGCAGTGAGCTCACGCGTTGCTGCAGTGAGCTCACGCGTTGCTGTAGTGAGCTCACGCATTGCTGCACTAAGCTCATGCCTCGCTGCACTGAGCTCACGCCTCGCTGCAGTGAGCTCACGCCTCGCTGCACTGAGCTCACGCCTTCCTGCAGTGAGCTGACGCCTTCCTGCAGTGAGCTCACGCTGTCAGAGGTCCACTGGTGATCCCCGATTGATCCTAGGAAAGGGTTACAGGCTCGTTGTCCTGGGGGGTTATGGGCGCACTGACCCGCTACTTAACAAGCCCTTTTATCCCAATGGTCTAGTGGTTGGGATTCTGACATGGTATCAGAGCGGTCTCGAGTTCGAATCCCGGTGTATGCACTTCGGGCATCCCAGTGCGGGGGGGTGTCAGAGGTCCACTGGTGATCCCCGATTGATCCTAGGGAAGGGTTACAGGCTCGTTGTGTGAAACAAGGAAAACAGGAATGAAATGACTATGGAAGATTGGGTACAAATACAACCCTGTACCCCATATGTGCTACCCCACTAAAGCCTACAGAAACTATGTCATATAAATCTGACACACCCCCATAGGCAAAGTGGGGGAGAACAAGGGGTCACAAGACCAGTCAGGTAAAGCAAAGCAGAGCAAGCTCAGGGTGGATCACAACGTCACCACACAGTCCGAGCACAAGAGCAGGGCCAGAGGCCAGTTCACATGCAGGAGTACAGACACATATATATATGGAACTAGACAAGCAAGAGCAGGTATAAATATATGTAACAGTACAAGTGAAGTCAAGAGGAGAGCAAGTGAGGCAAGACAGGCACAAGACCCAGCTGGGTGCAGAGGCGCTGATGGTCACAAGGCGCGAGTGCCTTGGTGAACACATCAGCAGTGTTGGCCTCAGACGCCACGTACGCAAGTCGCAACTGACCACGCTGCTGCAGCTCACGAGCAAGGAAGTAGCGGAGAGCAATGTGCTTCGTTCTGTGCTCCAAGCGCTGCTCTCGACACAAGGCCAGCATGGCCTTGTTGTCTACGTACAGC